AGATGGAAACAGCAGCCTTGCGGCGCCTGGTGGCTCAGTCGGTGGAGCGTCCGACCTCGGCTCAGGTCGTGGTCTCGTAATTCGTGGGTCCGAGCCCCACGTCGGGCTCTGGGCTGACAGCTCACAGCCTGGAGCCTGTTTCAGATTCTGTGTCTCCCTCTCTCTCTGTCCCTCCCACACTCATTGTGTCTCTCTTTCAAAAATAAATAAACGTTAAAAAAAAAATAAAGAACGAAACAGCAGCCTTTTCCTGTGGAGCTGAGCTCACAAGAAGGTTGGGAGTGTTACGGGGACAGAGCACAGCAAGGCGCTGAAGGGCGGAGGCCCGGGAGGGGTTCAACACCCACCCAGGGGAGGAGAGGGAGGCCTCCCGGGCCCATCCAAGGCCAGGGATGCACAGCACACTCCCCCTCTTGGGAGGGACGTGAACAAGGAGACCTTGCTCGCAGGGACAGGGCACTAAGGAGGCCTGCGGGCCCGGGCAGCTGTGACACAGCCAGGGCCCAGAGCCTCACGCAGTGTAGATCCTGCCCTGTGGAGCCGTCGCAGTCCAGGCCCCGTGACCCCCGCAGCGGATGAAGGGACACGAAACCTGGACCGGGGCCAGTGATGCCCACGGGGACCAGGGCAGAAGAAATGCACGATCGCCACGGGGGACAAGCTCTTGACCCAGCCCCACGTGGTTCCTGCCGGTAAAAGATGAGTTCACCTTCGGGAGTGCGAATCACAGCAAGAAGGAGCCACCACGGGGGCATCAGATACACAAACAGCAGGCCGCCCGGCAAAGAATGACCCAGAGTGAGTCCGACAAGCGGGCATCGGCTACCACGGTTAACACGGTGAACGGGCCGATGGAGTGAGAGGACAGGGGAATGACGGCAGGTGGGATTCCAGGGGAGGGGACCGACATCCGGAGGAGAAAGCAGTGGTCACGAGAACGACTCGAGTCCTCAGATCCAGGAATACTATGAGTGTTAAGCCGGAAAAAACCCAAATCTACATCTCTACATTTGCGGGTGAAACCATAGAATACACAAGACATAAAACTTAAGAGGAAAAGAGAGCCCCGAATCACCTCGAAAGCAGTTATGACGACAGCTGACTTGTCGGTGACGGTGGTAAAAGTCAAACAATAGTGGTAGCTCTGCTTTTTTTCGAAGTCTCAAGATAAAATAACTATTACCTTAGGACGTTAGTATCTGTTTTGGTGTAAAAAGTCACCCCAAGACTCAGCAGTTCAAAACAAAACACTTTGGTCCTCACAGCTTCTGCGGGTCAGAACCCAGGCGTGGCTCAGCCGGGCCCTCTGCCCCACAGTCTGTCACACGGCTGCAGTCACGGCGCTGGGTCTGCGTCCTCATCCGAAGGCTCGCCCGGGGGGTCTCGGTTCCCCCGACCGCGAGGCGGAGGCCCCGTGCCCCGGTGCCTCGTGGGCCTCTCCCAGGCGGCAGATGGCCTCATCAGAGGACACGAGTCAGAAAGGCTACAGGGAATCTTCTAGCAAGACGGGAGGCGCGGTCGGGGAAGTGGCGGGTGTAGGTCCCGCTCCCGGGCAGGCACCGGAGGCTCACACGAGGAGGGAGGGTCGGGCATCCGCCCGACCCCACACACCGTCACTCCCCAGTGGGGGCCGTAACAAAGCCACCTTCGAACACACGAGACTGAACGTCATCAGCATCACGTCCGCATTGAAGTCTCTCCTTGAGGAAGCGCTTCAGGAGGAAATAAGGGGCTGAGGGAGAAGGTGCGAGCAAGAAGCAACGAAGAGGACTGCCCGTGTTAAATAGTAACAGTGACACAGGCGGTCGAGGAACAAAGCCAGCGGAGCCGCGGTAGCGGGCAGACGAGGCGGCAGGAAAGCAGAGTGGTGCGGGGCCTTGCACTACTCGGCGGAGGCCAGCGGTGCCGGGTACATCCCTCCCTTAAGTACGTGCGTTTAAAAAAAATCTGTTGGCGTTTTATTCATTTTTGAGAGACAGAGAGTGTGAGCGGGGGAGGGCAGAGGAGAGGGAGACACAGAATCGGAAGCAGGCTCCAGGCCCTGAGGTGTCAGCACAGAGCCCGATTGGGGGCTTGAACCCACGAGCTGTGAGATCGTGATCTCCGAGCTGAAGTTGGAGGCTCGACCGACTGAGCCCCCCAGGTGCCCCCAGATATGTGTGTTCGAAGAGTGAAGTCGGCCACTAAAATAATACTGAGAGCTTCCAAGTCCGTGGTGGCGGGCAAGGAAAACACTGATCGGTCTCATAGGAGTCGGGAAGAGAGAAAAAAGGCAAGGATGAAGTAAGGTAAAGACAAAAAGTAAAATGGGGAAAAGCTCAAACCGTAACCATCATCCCAATAAAGTTCCACGGATTTAAACTAGCCAGTTTTTAACGATCGCTTATCAAACTGGGTGAAGAAACAAAACGCAGCTGTGTCCTGATTCCAAGGGCAGAGTCAAAGCAATAAGGAAGGAGACGGATCCGCAAGTGTGAACCACGAGCAGACCGTTACCACGTTGTCGGCGCAGCTGGAATCCACCCGAAGACCGCGGTCATGCGCGGAGAGCACGCCGGGAACGCTGCAGCGGGTCGCTGGGGAGGCCGAATGACTCTGAACTCGCAGGCAGCAGACACACGGCTTGAGAATACGGAAGGCGGACATCGGCAGAGCCCCAGAACGATCGGCTCTGCGGTCAGAAGGGACGGTGACGACAGACCAGGCCTAGAATTAACCCGCTCACAAACACTCGGGGGACACGGTCACGAGCAAGACGCGCCACCACAGGATCCCTTACCTTCAAGCGCACGTGGCATGTGTATCAGCAAGGGACGCGCCGCAGGGCCACAGAACCAAATCTCAACAGAACACCCAAGGGGACGCCACGACAATAGTACAGAGAAACAATCACCAAACATTTGGAAACGTAAAACCGAATCAGAGTGGGGCCTTAAGACAGGCAGAACCCCGCCACGAAGCAAGACCACGTGCAAGCCTTTGCAGGGCGCAGCTCCCCTCGACCTCGGAGGCAGTCCCTAACCGGAAAGCGTGGGCACGAGGAAGCAAAGGCGGAGAAGGGCTAGAGGGAGACCCGGGGAGCACGGCGAACGATAAAGCAGTGACCTGTGGGATCGAGAACCGGAAACGAGAGCCGACGTGAGGCGAATCGAACAGAGTCCCAGCTGGCTCCCTGCAATGACCGTGCGGCGGGAAGCGTCCAACCCCGCCTGCGGGCGCCCGCTCGCCAGGACGGCCCTTCCAGAGCCGGCGCGGGGCTGGCCGGCCCTCCCAAAGAACAAGCCACAGCAGAAGTGACGGGACGCCCCTGCCGAGAGTGGGCGACAAGAAGGTCACCGTGGCTTCTGCGTCCCCCCTGCTCTGGGGACACCGGCCGGCACCCGGTAAGCTGTCCCGTGCAGAAGCCCGCGTGGCTGAACCGGGGGGGGGGGGGTCGGCTGGCCGTGTGAATGAGCTTGGAGGCGGACCCCGCCCCGGCCGGCCCGACGCCGCATCCCAGCCACCGCTGCACGGCCTCTAAGACCCAAGAAAGGGACACCGGACCAGGCTGCGCAGAAAGTGCCAGCTAACACGTGTTCGCCGTTCGGGCCGCTGGGCTGTGATGTCCTGTGCTGCACAGCAGCAGGTAATCGTCACAAATAAACTAGAAGGGTCACGACGTGGCAACACTGAAGGAGACACGGGGGAAGAATTCGCCACCGAACAGTATTGGTGACACAACCACAGATGGAACAGAGATTTTAAATTAAAAAAAGAGATTATAACCAATTTTTGTCAATAAATTCAAAGCTTAAGTAAAATAAGCAATATTTTATTAAAAATTAAACCTATCGGGGCGCCTCGGTGGCTCCATCGGTGAAGTGTCGGACTTCGGCTCTGGTCATGACCTCGCGGTTTGTGAGTTCGAGCCCCGCATCGGGCTCTGTGCTGACAGCTTGGAGCCTGGAGCCCGCTTCGGATTCTGTGTCTTCCTCTCTCTCTGCCCCTCCCCTGCTTGTGCTCTCTCTCTCTCTCTCTCTCTGTCTCTCTCCCTCTCTCTCTCTCTCTCAAAAATAAACATTAAAAAGAATTTTTAGAAATTAAACTTATCAAAATCACTCAAGAAAAAAATAGAATACCCAAACAGCTCGATAACCACGAAGAAAATGAATCAGTAGTTTACAGAAGTACCCTACCCCCAAAACAGATGCAGATGGTTTAAAGAAAAGTTCCACCAACTATTTAAAGAACAGGAAATCCAAATCTAATAAAAAGTGTTTTATATGAGTAAGAAGTAGGAAAGCTACCTAGGTAATCTTGAGAGAGCAAACCCAGAGAATGCCAAAATGAAATTTAAAAAAATGTATAGCCTAGGGGCGCCTGGGTGGCTCAGTCGGTTAAGCGGCCGACTTCGGCTCAGGTCACGATCTCGCGGTCCGTGAGTTCGAGCCCCGCGTAGGGCTCTGTGCTGACAGCTCAGAGCCTGGAGCCTGTTTCAGATTCTGTGTCTCCCTCTCTCTGACCTTCCCCCATTCATGCTCTGTCTCTGTCTCAAAAATAAATAAACTTTAAAAAAACATTAAAAAAAATGTATAGCCTAATACATTTAGAAACAGAAATACAAAGTTATAAAATACGAGCAACGGACTCCATTAACATGCACAAAAATAGTAATTATGCCAAATTAGGTTTATTCCAGGAATCATCAGAAAACCCATGATTCGGGGCACCTGGGGGGCTCAGCCGGTTGAGCGTCTGATTTTAGCTCAGGTTATGATCGCACGGTTCATGAGTTCAAGCCCCGTGGTGGGCTCACTGCTGTCCACACAGAGCCTGCTTGAGATCGTCCTCCTCTCTCTCTGCCCCTTTCTGCTCATGCGCTCTCTCTCTCTCTCTCTCTCTCAAGAATAATAAACATTTAAAAAAAGAAAAAAGGAAGACAAATGAACATTTAACACATTATCGGTGGAACTTGTCCACAGAATCATCACCACATATACAAGAAACATTACTTGATAAAATCTAGTGCACGCTATTTTTTTTTTAATTTTAAATTAGGGTTATACATGTATTTGTTTACTAAGGCCACTGTAAACAAAGTACCACAGACTAGATGGCTCGAAGCAACAGAATGGGTCCTCGCTCGTTTGGAGGCTAGAAGTCTAAATGAAGGTATGCGCGGGGCTACGGTCTCCCCTCCTCTTCTTGCTGGAAATTCTCACTTTTCCTTGGCACGCTGTTTTTTCATTGAGGTAAAATGGACATAACATCAAATTTAACCATTTTAAAGCGTACAATTCGGTGGCTTCCAGTATATAGATACAGATACGGATACGGATACAGATACAGATACAGATACAGATACAGATACAGATACAGATACAGATACAGATACAGATACAGATACAGATAGATATCCAGATGTAGATGTAGGCAATATAGATACAAACATAGGCACAGAATCAGATATAGACGTGGACGTACATATCCACTGTGTCGTGCAGCCGTCACCGCTAGGTGATTCTAGACCATCTCCATCACCCCCAGAAGAAACCCATCCTGTATGGCAGCCCCTCCCCTTTTCCCCTGCCCTCAGACCCTGACAACCACGAATTGGCTCTCCATCTCTCCCTGCTTCCCATCGCACGGAGGATGACGCTTCCCCAAACTCCTTGTGTCCGGGCCGGCCCGAGAGAGGAGTCCTGGCCGGAGAGCTGGACGCGGGTGACACGTCGCTTCGGAGGCACAACACAGAGCCGCCGGCGCAGCTGCCCCAGCACCCTCTTCCACCGAGGCGGTCCCGGGGCCACTCGCTGTGGCGGTGCCAGACCGGGGCTGCCACACCGCACGTCCCCACCTCCCGTCCCCACGCGCGCCCCCCCTCCCTGAGCACGAGGGGGGGCTTGCGATGTGCGTGAACCAGCAGAACACGCAAACTCGAGGGGATGCCATTTCCACAATTATCGTAATGAGATTTTAATGCCCACCTAGCGAAGCGACTCTCCCCCCTGCATGTGGCAGGTCGCTAAGGGTGGCCTCCAGACGACGGCCAGCAAGAGACAGGCCGTCACTCTCGCCGGGGCAGGATGCTGTCACGACCACCAGGTGGGCTTGGAAGTGGGTCCTTTCCAGTCTGTCCTCCGAGGAGGACGCGGCCGGGCCACTCCTGACCCACAGAAACCGTCAGAATCACGCGCCAAAATAGGTGTTGTTTCAGGTCCCTGAGTCGGTGGCAATACTGTCACACGCTGTAAGTACGTACAGTGGTGACAGACAGGATGCTGGCCCGTGGGGCACGGTGGTGAGGGCATACGGGCATAACAGCAAGACGCCCGGCCTGTGGTTTTGAGCCACGGCCGCCGGGGCTTTGGTGACCACAACGTAACCTGGCCTAACTGTTATCACTGATCACTTTCCAGTGATAAATGACCTTCAACGCACAGCTTACAGGGCCGGCGATGGGGGGTGGGGGGGGGTGCCCATGGCTGGAGGGACGGCTGCCTGGACAGAGAGAGGCTCAGGCCTTTGTCGGAGGATGAGAACCAGCCACCCAAGGTGACCCAGCGGGACCCAGCAGCAAGGGCAGGGCACTGGATGCCTTCACCTCGCCTGGTGCCTGTGGGGGTCCTCTGGGTCCAGCTCCCCCAGGGTCCCCCGGGGCCGCGGGCAACATGGGGGAGGGGAGCACGGGGGACCTCTGGCGGCACCCCTCAGTCATTGCGCATCGAATCTTGACCCACGAAGGGTCGCTGGAGTCCAGGACAGACAGCCCAGCAAGAAATGGATGGAGGCCAGAGCCAAGCCCCCCGGGTCGCTGCTCCCCCGCCCCCGGCCCGTCCCCCACCCCTTCCTCCTCTTCCTCCTCCCCCCACTGCCCCGTGGCAGGAGTTTCGGAGGTAAGAGCTCCCCAGCACGGTCTCTGGAAACACAATTTGGCGGGCACCCGCAGGGTGGGGGTCAAAGTGTGGCAGACCCTGGGGGGCAGACAGACTGTGACCGTGAACCACGACAACGATTTGCTGTCTCCCCCAGCAGGACAAATCGAAACAGCTCAGCGGAGATGTTTGGGGCAGTCTACACAAGGAAAACCGCACACAGGACATCGGGCCACGGCAGCCCGAGGTGGGGAGGACCTCTTCCCAGAGCCTGGCGAGTCTCTGGTGCTCTGCCTTTCAGAGCGTGCCCCCCCCCAGTCCCCGCCCCACCGCAAGCACCCAAGGGTCCCCTCAGACCCCGCTGGAGGCAGAGTGCCCCCCGGGCCCGGATCGGAAGCCCAGGGCCGGGCCTCCTGCGTCTCACCTTCTCATAAGGACACCAGCCACGCTGGGTCACGGCCCACCCTGTACCAGCGGGACCCTACCTTAACTAATTACAGCTGCGATGACCCTGTCTCCGATAAGGTCGCTGAGACCCCGGGAGTTATAATGTCCACAGACTGTGGGACAGAGTCCAGTCCCGCACCCTCGGCTTGAGGTGAGACGTGCCAGGCGCTTCTAGCTTCCACAGCTCGCCCGTCTCCCCCCGGAGCTCCCGTCAGAGCTGGCGGACAGGCTGCAGGCCCCCGGCCTGCAAACAGGGGTGTGGAGAGGTCTAGGGGGCACGCTGGTGGGCACCCCGACCTCCGGGCACCTCGCCACCGCAGGGGTCAAGAGAGGGCTCCGCCGCCGTTGGGCCCCTTCTGTGTGGGATCTCTCAGGATAGTGGTTAAACCAAAATCGTGACCGTTAAAGTTATAGATGGCTGTTGGGAAACCTTACTTTTAAAACCCTCCAAGTCACCCACGTGCCCTAAACTCGACCGCAAACTTCAGTGACTTCTCTGCTCACCACGGTTTCGTGGGCCCGGATTCGGTTTCCTTCTGTCCGACTGCCCCTTTCTCGACCTTTCAGAGAGCATGTGGATAATCTGCCAGAATCCGTGCGTGCGGGGACCAGGTGTCCCCTGGATGGCCACGTGGCCGGCCACAGCGGTCCGGCCCCCAGCACGTGGGAACACCGCTCTCACGCCGCGGCCAGCATCGGTCGGAAGCCTGTGGTCGGCGGGATCGGCGTTCATTTGCGGGCCGTGAAACTCCGGTCTCTAGCAGCTTCTTAGGCTGAACGTGAAGCGACAATTCATTCATTAAAAATTATTTTTTGGCATCCATCGTATGGACGGCTCCAGGCGCTGAGGACGTAGCCGTGAACAGGGCGGGCAAAGCCCTGCTCCCCGACCTGACCAGCCAGGGGCACAGACAAAGGAGCCAAACCAACTACCGAGCAGCGCAGGCGGTGACCGCCACCCGGAGAGACACGAAGGGAAGGTGCTGGAAGGGACGCAGCGACAGGGGAAGGGCCCCGGATCACAGGAACATGGGGCCTGGCACCAGCAGAGGAAGAGGAAGGCCGGGGCTGTGGCACCGTGTGGGTGGGACCTGTTCCCACCCCCTTTCTTCAGGCAGGGGGTCCTTCCTTCACCTTGTCAACGCGAGGGGGGGGGGCGGGGCACAGCCAGCAGATGACGTCAGCAGATGACACAGCCTCCCTCACCTGAGCCTGTGTCCAGACGGCATCCTCGGAGCGTTCTGTCTTCTGGGTGTCCCCATGCCACCGTGAGGTCCTTAGAAACAGGTCACCTCCCATTTCTGCTCCCGCCCCCAGCTCCAAGGTTTGCTCAGATAATTTCCCACCTTCTTCTCCGGATGATTATCGGGCATTTCTGGCAGCACATCCGCACCCATTCCTTGAGTGCCCCGCGCAGAACTCCCGGGAGGCCGTGGGGCAAGGGCCCCAGAGCCCGGTGCTGGGGGTCCCCACACCTGGCTCACCAGCCGGCTGCTCGAGGCCAGGGAGTGGCCCCCGTGAGAAAACGTGTTCTCGTCACCGTGCGAGGCCCTGAGGGGCGTCTGAAGAGGGCAGTGACGCGCCCGGAGTGTGCACGGCTGGGAGGGCTGCGGGGCCCCAAAGAGCAGCAGGCGTCCTCCGGGCCAGACCCAGGAAGGCCTGTAATGCCAAGGAGAACCCCGCCTACACCCTCACGTGGCCGGGCCCGGTGGGGGGGGGGGGGGCCCTTCTGCCTTCTGGTCAGTCCCGGCTGTGCCCCAGGGCTCCCGCTCTGCGCCTCCAGTCTTCCCAGTGACCCCGTGTCTCTCTCGGGGTCTACCCACACCAGCAGCATCTGGGAACCACCTACCAACCCCTGACGTCCGTCCCCCTCGCTGTGGAAAAGACCTCTGGGGCCGGGGTCAGACCCCTGAGGTACATCTCAGCCTGTGCCCACAGTCCGTCCACTGAGCCACCCTGACCACCGCCCCCTCCCCCTGCGGCCTTCCGGACAACCTCACCGGTGGGCTCCAGCCGCACAGGACCCCCACCCGTTCCTCTCCGGGGGGGGGGGGGGGGAAGGCCTTCTCCAGCCAGCGGCCAGGGAGGGGGGCGGCCAGGGGGGCGCGTCCCGAGCCCCCGCTGGACACCGGACGGCCTGGGGCACCACCCGCAAGCTCTGTCACCCGCCACCTCCGAGAACGTCCCAAGCGGGAGAACGTCCTCCAGCCGCCGGGGAGGACAGAGGCGGAGAGAGTCCGGTGTTACTGGTGTACCCGCCTCGGGGCTGTGACAGTGAGGAGGCCACGCGCCGGCAGGGGCCCGAGCGTTCTCCGTGCTCTTCAGGAGGGTCCCCTGCGGCTCTGCCAGCTGCATGTCCCGTCTCCCCCGCTTTGGTGGTGGCCGCGGCGCCCGCCTGAGATCACACGGCGGAAAGGGCCTCTGCTGGGCGCTGCCGGTGGCGGGAGCACGAACGCGGCCGCTCGCTTCGGGCAGCTCAGCGTCATGGGGAAGGGCGACCGGGCCCAGACGCGACGGCAACCGTGGGGGACAGTGAAGTCAGGGGGTCTCGGCTAGCGGGCGGGAGGGCACCCCGGAGGAAGCGACGCCCGGCAGCCGACACTCCGGGACGGAGGGGCACGGGCAGAGGCCCCGGGGCCTGAGGACACCGACCAGCTCTGGGAGGTGGGGAGTCTGCGCAGTCGACGCGGAGGGAGCCGGAGAAGGGGTCAGCGTGGGCAGGTGAGGGGCCCCACTCCTAGGTCGGCAGCTGTGGGGGGCGGGGGGTACAAGTGTCCGGGACCCCTTCCCAGGGCAGCTGTGCAGCCGGCGTGTACCCCCGATCAGGTGGGGATCGGTGAATCCGCTACGAACAAAATGCCACCGTAGGGACTGGGAAAAAGGAAAATGAAATTCTCTCATGTAAACAAGCCCGGATTCTCCACAAGATTAGGGCTTTGTGTCCCCCTTTCTGCTCCCTGGCTTTCCGGAGGTTTCCATCCTGGAGGTGCCGCGGAGGGATCCGGGCATCACATGTGGCCTCCACATCGGCCAAGGCGCTGCTGCATCACCTCCCGACCCCTTCAGAAATCCCACGAGGCCCTTCTTCCCAGCCCGGAGTCACAGGAACACAGCGGCCGCGGAAGCCAAAACCCGGTCCCCGTGGGACGGGTGCGTGGCTCCACGGGAGGGGAGGCACGGGACATACTCGGGTGAGATATTTAGGTTGTTCCGAAACGGACCCGCGAGGGTGACTTCGGCTTCCTGTGACGGAATCTCTGCCCGAAGTGGCTTCAGTGCAGGTGCCTCGCCCACAGGGGTCGGAGGTCACAAGGCTGCAGGGGTGCGGAGCGCATCCGGTCACAGGGCAGGCCTTTGCAGCAGCTCCTCTGGGAAGGCATCACGAAATCACCCAGCCGGGGCAAGAGCTTGGACCGCCTCCTACCGGCCGCCTTCCCTGGGTGAAGAAGACTTCCGCGGACACCACCTGCCCCCACCAGCAGGTGTCCTTCAGGTCCCCTTGGCCAGAACTGGGAGGACCTCAGCCCAGCCCCTTCTCGCGCACTCCCGAGCTGCCCCGCCTGGGCGTTAACTTCAAAAATAAAACTGCCAGTTATTTCCCCAGCAAGACTGGCTTTACTCGGGAACAGCAGAGGCCAACACAGGCCAAGCAACTCTAGGAGGGAAAACCCTACACGGGCCACGACTCTACGGTTCAGGAGGCTCGTTTATAAGGAAGGGAGGGTGGAGTGGGCGGGAGGGCTGTTGTAAACAGAAAGTTCATTGGAGCAAACTCTGAGCTGGAAGTGTGGTGCCTTCTCATTGGCTGGGCTGTGGCAGTCTCTCATTGGCTGAGCTGTGATGATCTCTCACTGGCGGGGCTGTGGCTGTCTCTCATTGGCTGGGCTGTGGCAGTCTCTCATTGGCTGGATTGTTGCTGGGGGAGGAGGAAACCTTCCATCCTCCTGCTGAGCTTGTAAAGTGGTGGCTACAGTGGAATCCACCTGCAAGGTGCGTCCCTTCCTGTTGGGTCTGCAATTGACCGAGAGCGGTAGGGCTGAGAGCTCCCCCTGCTGGCCACCCGACTCCATTCTAAATGAGGTTTCCTCTCACTAATTTTCACGTGGGCAAGTCCCTGCTACACCCCGTACCCGGGGGTGGTGCTGCCCGGAGAAAAGGCCAGCGTGGGCGCTGGTCCAGCTGGTAGGGGACCCAGGATGGCGTCCAGGTGATGAGGGAAGGAGGGCCTGGGTGAAAGCTGCCTGGCAATTGGGCCTCCCAGACAAGACCCAGTGAGAGACCCCTGGTGATTGTGGAGGGTGCTGTGGCGACATCAGGAGGAGGCGCTGTGAAACCCTGGCTGTTAGAAAAGCCAGTCACCTGCAAAGCCGCACTGAATAGAGAGATGGCACGTTTCCTGCAGCTTCTCTTAGCTCCTCCTTGCTTCTCCGTTCCTGTGCCTGCTGATGGCGAGGCCCCGCCCACTCGTCCTGCCCCCGGCTTCTCGCGGACTCTGTGCTCCACCTCAAGGCTGGTGCCCACCTTCATGCCGCCGCCTTGCAGTCCCACATACCTACACCTGGCACCTCCTGGACCCAAGCCCAACAAGGGGCTGGCCAGATTGCTCAGTTACGTGTTGTCATTCAGCAGTTGGGAGTAGGGCACTGAAAATCAGAGTACAAGGGACCCTCACCCATCCAGGGAGAGCCCTTCTTGACTTCCAAGGCCACAACCTGGCTCAGCACAGGGTGAACGAGTCCCCTAGGGGACTCGACACCTACCACCCAGATCAGCACAGGGTGAAGAGTCCCACTGACGTCCAGCTAATCAGGAATCCTCCGGCTGGGAGCCCTCTGACCCAGCCCAGCCCAAGGAGAACAAGTCTCCAGGACCCCCAGCTGGCCAGGAGCCTCCAACACAGCTCAGTTCAGGGAAAATGAGTCTCAAGGACTCCCAGACCAGGCACCCTGCAACCCAGCTCAGCACAGGGTGAACGAGTACCTGGAAACGCAGCCCAGGGGGTGGACCCAGCCCAGCACAGGTAGAATGCATCCACAGGACACCTGGCCAGCCTGAGCCCTCTGACCCAGCTCAGTACAGGTCGAACGAGTGCCCAGGAAACATGGCTGACAGGGAACCCTCCGGCCCAACTCAGCACAGGGCGAATGCATGCACAGGACACGTGGCTGTCTGAGAGCCCTCTGAGGCAGCTCAACATGGAGTGAATGTGTCTGCCAGACCCTCTACTGATCAGGAATTTGACCCAGCATAGCGCAGGGCCAAAGATCCTGCTGGACACCTGGCCAACCAGGAGCCCTTCAACACAGCTTAGTGCAGGGCATAGGAGTCCCGTGAACATCTGTGTTCCCGTGGAGGAGCCAGGTCAGGCGCCGTCTATGAAGGCAGAGGTTCCTTCCTCTGTTGGAGGCTGGCTCCCATGTGTCACTCAGTCATGGCCAAGGCCTGGCTGTTGGAGCCCTTTCAAGCGCGGTCCTGTTGGGTTGCTGTGTGGACTTGCTGGTGAGCACATGGCCAGTAGTCCTCGGCCTGGGACCGACTTCAACCTGGTGTCCCGGTGCCATGCCATTTCGGGAGCCTTTATCATTTGGGGAGTTGTCTTCAGAGGAAGCAAAGGGTACCAGCCATAAACTAAGAGACAGAGCAGAAGTTGGAAGAGCCATCCACGGGAATGAAACTCGTTGATACATCTCTGACCAATTTTGACAGAAAGCTTGAATTTATGAAAACAGCTTTTTAAAAAAATTTTTTAATGTTCGTTTATTTTGAAAGACAGAGACAGAGAGTGGGCCAGGGAGCCAGGGCAGAGAGAGAGGGAGACGCAGGATCCGAAGCAGGCTCCAGGCTCCGAGCTGTCAGCATGGAGCCAGATGTGGGGCTTGAACTCACGAACCGTGAGATCATGACCTGAGCCAAAGTCGGACGCTTCACCGACTGAGCCACCCAGGCGCCCCAGAAAGCGGCTTTTAATACAAGCAGGGAAAGGAATTGATGTCTCTTTCAGAAGGAGTCTAAGCTAGAGGTTTCACTTCTCATGTGTGAAGAAGAAAATCAAGTTGAGAAATCTGCTTTGTCACTTGGTGTCACAAGGGGGACACAGTTTAACGTTTATTTATTTTTTTTGGGACAGAGAGAGACAGAGCACGAATGGGGGAGGGGCAGAGAGAGAGGGAGACACAGAATCAGAAACAGGCTCCAGGCTCCGAGCCGTCAGCCCAGAGCCCGACGCGGGGCTCGAACTCACGGACCGCGAGATCGTGACCTGGCTGAAGTCGGACGCCCAACCGACTGCGCCACCCGGGCGCCCCGGGGGACACAGTTTAAAGGCCTTGCCAGAGACCCAGGCCTCCCCGGACGCAGCACGAGATGAGGAAAGGGACTGGGAGCGAGCTGTGGAGACCCAGGCCCTGAGCTTGGGGGAGGAGTCCTGGCTAAGCTCCTCCCGGAGGAGAGGATGAGGTCTTAGAAGAACGGGCCCGGCAGCGCGGGCAGAGGCAGGCCCCGTGCCGGGAGCTGGACGGCTTCCTTGGCAACACACGGGGCTTTCCTGGAAGTCTGCCTTCCAGGGAAAGTTCTCAGAGGGGTGAGACCTGCACACCCCCAACCAGGAGGGCGTAGAGGGGGAGCCGGGGCTGGGTGAGGGCCACCTCTGGGATGTATATGACTTTTAAATAAAGAACTTCACATAATCATTTCAAAATAATTTAAGACAAACGGTCCCGGGGTAGCCCAGGACTGCGGTCCCCACCACGCCTCATGCGTCCCCACCTCCTCCAGATGGGGGACGGGGGCCTCCGTGGCTCTGAGAAAGTGTGGGGAGCTGACACTGAGCACGACCTGTCTGTCCCGTCAGCCCTTTCACACCCGTTGACTCCTGTAGAACACAGGCCACCGCTGAGGTCAGCACCATCCTGATAGGAAAGGAAAGGAAAGCAAGTGTTTCTGCACGAACCGTTTCTTGCCCGAGACCTCCCAGCTGGATCGTGGTAAAACTTGGGTTTGGACCCGGACGTTTCAGTTCCAAACTCTGGCACAAGAGTAGGAGCATCTCAGCTGCAGGCCTGGGGCCCTCCCTGCCTCTGGGCCAGGGGTTGTGGGCTCAGGGCAGCAGGCAGACATGGGAGTGAGGGGCCGGAGGGTGGCTCTGCCCTGACAAGGAAGCACTGTGGGATTGGAGGAGACACGTGGGATTTACGCCAGCTGCTCTAGGTGCAGGGGTGGGTGGGCGGAGTAAGGCAGAACAGGGGACAGGTGGGAATGGGTGCATCTCAGAGAGTGTAGGGTGCCTGTGGACGTGGCAGATGTCCTCTTAGCTCCGGGGATGTGCGGTGGGAGCTGAGAGGACGTGCAGGTCCCTGAGAGCCAGGGCCGCCTGTGGCTGCAGCCGAGGAGGAGGAGGACAGCCCAGCGCTGGGGCCCCTGGGCAGAGCTGGAGGCAGCACGCTCGGGGGACCTGGGCACGAACTGGTGGGAGCCGTGAGGCAGCTGGCTTTTTGGGGTGAGGCGAACTCGAGACGGACGTGGGACGAGGGAGGCTTGCCTCCAGGATGGATGGTGTCTGAGCCGATTCGAGGGCGGCTGGTCTCGGGAGCCGGTGGGGAGGCTGGTGGAGTCCAGATCACTCCAGCCTGAGAGGACAGTGGAAAGTTTGTGTGATCCCAGGGCTGGGGGGTCTCCTCTGCTCAGCTGATCTGACCCTGCTCACCGTACCCCGGGTCCTGGGGCGGGGGCCGGCACCTCACCTTGGGGGTGTGATCCAGAGCTGTTCACCCCTTGAGTCCCCATTCCTTCATCTGTAAAATGCAAACAACTCTGGATGGGGTGGGCGGGAGGCAGGAGATGGCGGAGGTGGGAGGGGATTGGCAGGGGCAGGACACAGATGGAGACCCGAGGAAGGAGACACGGAGGGAGGGTCCCGGCCCTTCCTTGCTGAAGCCGGAGCAACAGCTCTGGGAGGAGAGCACCCCGGGTGCTGCCTTTGTCTCACACGGCTGGTGTCTCACTCCACCAGCCTCCCCGCCGGCTCCCGGGGGCCTCCTCTGCCTTCTTGGTTATGGCTCGCGGGTCACGGGCCACAGCACCAGACCTCTCCTGCTTCCTCCACTGTTGCTTGGCACCAGCAGGTCAGAGTCCTTGGACCCGTGGGGAAGCTTTGAGCTCCAGGGAGCAGCGATGGGACCTCTCGCTTCAGAGAACTCTTCTGGGCTGTGTTGACGGGCATGCAAGTAGTGTGTATAGTGTGATGTATTTATAGAGTCACAGGAAGCTGCAGAAAGTACAGGGAGTTCCCTTCAGAAAGGCATCCTTCATTCATTTTGCCGCAGCGTCACATCTCACATTACTGCAGAACGTCATTAATGCAAGGAAACCAACACTGGCTCATTGGGCGTGGCCGGCTGTTTATCGCGTACACTCAGGTAGCCAACGACACGATCCAGCTGTGGACTGTTCCATCAGCACAGAGATCTCCCTCAGCCCACCCACTCCTGCCCCTGTGATCCCTGCCTGTGGCAGTCGCCAATGCGTTCTCCACCTCGGAAGCTTTGCCCTTTGGAGAGTGTCCCCTGAGCGGGGTCCTGTAGCCGGGACCTTGAGGTTGGCTGTTCTTTTCACTCAACACTTGCCCCTGAAATCTATGCAAGTTGTATGTG